TATAAATCAGAATCAACATTTGGTCATATGGATGTGAACAAAAGAGAGGAGCAAGGGAACTATAAGTGTTTGTAAGATAGAAATTACTATTATAAAGCAATGATAGATAAAGAGGGGAGTGAACAAAGGAGAGAGTTGATGGATATAGAGTGACCAATGGGACCCAGGTCCTACTGTCCTTGATGAAATCAGAAATTGAGTGAAAGGGGTATGTGAGCAAGTAAGCTGGAATGAGAGGGAGGTGTGATTGGAGAGTAGAATATCAGAATTAGTGATTTAGAAAATGGAGCCTATAAAAGAAAGTCATGTCCATCCAGGACCTCAGAATGTGACCTCATGTGGAATCATGGTCTTTGCAGATATAATCAATTAAAATGAGGTCATACTGGATCAGGCTGAGTCCTAAATCCAATGACTGGTGTCATTATAACAGGAAGGAAAAGGAGATTTGGACATAGAGACACAGAACAGACGCACAGAGAAGATGAAAGAGAAGATGGCCACGTGAAAACTGAAGCAGAGATGGGAGTGATAAACCAAAGGATGCCAAAGATTGCCAGGAGCCACCAGAAGTTGGAAGAGACACAGAAGGATTCTTCCCTAGAGCCTTCAGAGGGAGCATAGCCCAGCAACAGATTGATTTCAGATTTCTTGGCTCCAGAACTGTAAGAGAATAAATTTCTGTTGCTGTAAGCCACCCAGTTTGTAATTTGTTGCAGCAGCCAGAGGAAACTAATACGAGTCTTTTCTAATCATGACAAAGCCCCAGCATGAAGCCCTGGGAGTGGGCAGCAGAGGTGAGCAGTAGAAAAAGACAGTGTTGATGAGGAAGAGAAGAAAATAAGAAACCAGAGAGTTATTGGGGCTTTTCCTGACACTACTGTGAATGGTGGCAGAACATGGGACAGATAGGAAGACAGTGAGTCCAGAACAAAATCTTTGAAGAATGGGGTAAAATGAGGTCCACGGATAGCACTGAAGTATTTGTAGAGCACAAGAGGGGAAGAAATGGTTTGAAAGCAGCATGAAAGGCAAGGAGGACACTGTCCTCACTTTTCAACATTGGGATAAAGGGACAAGGGGGAAGGTGAAAAATCCCTACCAGAATAGCTGGAGGAAAACAGTTTCTAAGACAGAGCCAAAATTCAGCCTGCTAATAATTCTTACTTATCCCTGGCTGCACATTATAAGCAAACCAAGAGCTTTTGAAAAAAATACTCACGGCCAGGTCCCACTCTAGCCCAAGAAATCAGCATCTCTGGGGTCCTGGCATTTGTGTTATTTTAAAGCTGCCCAGGCCATTCTGATGAGCAAATGGATTTTAAAATCACCGATTTAAGGCAAAATGAGCCCTGGTGGTGCAGTGGCTAAAGCACTCGGCTGCCAACCAGAAGATCAGCAGTTGGAACCCACCAGCCATTCCACAGGAGAGATGAGTCAGTCTGCTTCCATAAAGATTTACAGGCTATGGAACCCCTATGGGGCACTTCTACTCTGTCCTATAGAGTCATTATGAGTCAGAATTGACTCAATAGTAGCAGATTTTTGGTACAGATTTAAGGGAAGGAGGGTGGAGGGAACTTTGGAGAAGGGGTTAAGTATACACTTAGGTTTCCTGCTTGATTTGTAATGGCCTGAACACAAACTACATTCTTTGAATGTCCCTCATGAACTCACACCCAAAAGAAGCTGAGCAGTAAGCTCTGCTGGCCCTTCTGTGGTCTCTCCTCTTCTCCCAAGTTCGCCCTTCCTGTCTTAAAGCAGTAATTCTGATCCAATAGTGCGATACAGTCTTTAAAAACATCTGGAGTGAGATTACCTTTGTGTTTTCTTTTAACCTTCCTCCACGTCTTTTTTCCAGGTGATATGGGGAAAGTGGCTGTTGTTACTTACGCATGTATTGATGGGGAGTCATTTTGGGTAACTCCCAGCTTTGACTTGATACACTGGCACAAAAGAAGCCACTTTTCCCTGTACCCCCATCTAACCCCTGTAAAGTGTAGCAGTGGGATTGATGTGGAAGATGACAAGAACAACCATGATATTCGTGGACTGTGCTACAAACAAGGCTCTCAATTTACATAAACCCTGGGAAGTATGCAGTAAGCAAAGGAACACGGTTTGGGCTCAGCTCCTAAAGGCTGGTGATGCAAAGCCACCTAGCAGTGCCTAGACAGGTGTTCCAGAACAAAAGCCTGGGGATCTGTTTCACAAAGACTACAACCAAGAAAACCCTATGGAGCAATTGTACTTGCAACAGATAAGGGTCACAATATACTTGACAGCAAGGAGTTTACACTGGGGCTCCAAAGAGATAAGTGACTTGCCTAAGGTCACAGCTAGAAGGTAATAATCACAGACCACCTCCAGAGACCAATGTCTTAATCACTCCACTCCAGCCACTTAGCTACAAAAATATGTAACTTTCCTTCTAGTTCTAAGACTGTGAAACTCCCATTGGCTTTCTCTCCCTGAAGGGACAAAAGAAATTACAAACTTCAAAGGCTCTAGAGGTGCAACAGTTTTACTGAAAAGTTAAGGCAGGCATCTGGGAGTAAGTTGGAGGTGCAACAAAGTGGAAATGACATCATAAGGTTTCGCCGGGCGGCCTCCCCACAGGTGCTCCCCCGAGGGCTTCAGGAGCTACACAATAGCTGGCTTTTCTTCCAGCTCCTGGAGCATCGCTCCCTGAGCAGGTGGAAATGTCATATCACGTGGTCAGGCTGATGGCAGCCTAATTAGACCGTAAGACTTCAGGATCTCGAAATTGCCAGGAAGATTCTGGGTGGTATTTCTTCACCGTGCAAAGTAAACTCGACTTCTTTTTCTCCTGTATTTTATAATTTTAAATTAGGTAAACTTAATCTCTCGCTTGTAGCTCAGCGTTTCCGCAAACTAAACATACAAATATTAATATTGAAAATAATTGCCCTTTAAAAAATGTCCTGGAACTCGATGTGGGGTATTTCCAATATATCCATAAAGCAAACAAGACAGCTTAATTGTTTGTTTCTCCAAGGGAAGGAGCTAAACCCGGAATTAATTTGGTTCAGCCTGTGAAACAATTCGTTTGCTCTGCCTAATTTTGCCAATTAAATAACTTTTCCCAGACACAATTAGCATGTAAATCCGAGGCTGAGAGCGAAGGAGGGACCTCGGCAACCGCGGCGGGGTGGAGGTGCGGGACGAAAAACCCAGGGACCGCCTGAGCCTGACCTCTGCTCTGCGGGCCGCGCCAAGGGACCAAGGACAAGCTCAGGACCCGGTTCTCATCAGCCCTGCCGTCATCATCCCAAGTCTGGGTGTTAAATAGCCCAGCCGGGGATCAAGCCGTAGTGTCAAGCCAGCGCCCTTCCGCCCGACCCCACTGGGATCTAGGGGGACAACACAGAGACACGGAGCGCGCGGGCAGCAATCCCACCAACCCTCATTCTTCAGCCCCCTCCCGAAGCCTGCTCTTCGGAGCCGCGGGGGCTGCGCGCGCACCTGGGGCCGCGCCCCTCGCCCCCCGGGCCTGGAGCGGCGTTTGACTGGGAAAGGTGGGGATAGCGACCCCTGCTGGCAGCTCTGACGAACATCAGGGAAACTGCCTCTCCCCCGTTACCATTTTCTCAACTTTTTCTCAGGTGGGTTGTGGAAAAAACACAAAATAATAAATAAATAAATAAAGGGATGTTATCGCGTGCGCATTTATTCTTTGTGAGCTTTCACGAGCAGATAGGTTAGTAATCTGGTTGTAACCTGGGTTCCCAGCATGAACAGCATAAAGGCAAAGTGAACTTATTAGTGGTTCTAGCCCCAATTAGTGAACAAGTAGTTCCTAATGCGTTTAGACTAGGGCTCTCCACCTCAGGAGACTGAGACCCTGATCTCTCACCCACTTGCTTTTCTCACCCGACCCCCTGAGCAGTAAATCCTTCTGGGAGGACAGTTTGGCCTCTTCACGTTACTTTCTTTAAAGGCTGCGGCTGCAGCCCGCACCATTTGCGAAGCTCACTGGGGTAGCGGCAGCCACAGCGCGCAGTTGTTGTTTGCTGGGCGCAGCAGGCGCGGCAGGGAGCGCGCAGCAGCCGAGGGAGGTGGACATGGCAGGGCCTGACGAGTTGGCACAAGCCTGTAACTGCAAGGCTTCTTAGGCGATTCAAAATTCATGCGGTGGGAAGGCTGTGCCTGCCGTTCTTGGTGTGATCATAACAATAGCGCCTTGGAAGTAGTTGCAATTTGATTCTTCCATGGAGCTGTTGAGTTCTCACCGAAATTGTTTTTGTCTCATTTCTGAAGTTTATTTTTAAGAACAGTTTGCACACTGTCTTAGTTTTAAACAGCTCGTCGTTATTGTTGTTAATAACAGTTCTCTGTACCATACTTTATTTGCTTTATTAGTGTGTGTAACTAATAGCTGTGTTCATATCTTGGAAGTGTATTTTTAACCGTACAGGCTTCTATCCAATTCATCTGGATATAGAGAGTCCATCATTCTGGAATCTACCTTTTGATACTGTAATCAGAATTAGAAAGGCTTGCCGTTCACTTACTCTCATCCTTTAAAACTTTTCCATTTAAGAAAATCGATGAACAAATCCCTTCTTGTAACTCACTCCTGCACTACGTCTATTTTTATTTATTTTTCTGATTTGGCAGCGCTCAGCAATGCTGCCCGGGAATTTTTTTTTTTTTTTTTCCTTAGCTAGAGCAGATGCGGAGGTGGGGGAAGTGAACGCTGGGCTCTAGGCCGGGTCGCCCCCGCGGGGACCTCCGCGGAGTGTGCCGCGTGCCGGGGAATCTTGGCAAAGAAAGCAGCATTGCCAGTCGGCTCAAGGCTCCACCTGCACCTACATCGCATAGATTATCCCTCTCTCTGCCTCGCTCACTCGCACTCACACACACATACATGCAGACACACACCCCACAGCTCTCCTTTGGGTCGGAAGAGACGCCAGCCAAAGGAGGCGGGGTTGCAGGAGGAGAGTCCGCTCTGCGCAATCCAGTCCGGGACTTGACTCCGCCCGGGAGCGGCGGCCTCTCTGGTGGCAGAGGAGTAGTGAGCTGCTCCGGGTGAGGCTGCAGCCAACTCTGCTCCCCGCGCACTCGGCTGTCCAGGCGCTCGGGACGCAGCAGCGGCGCTTCTCCGCGGGACTTACTTCCCGTGATGCCGGCTTAGGAGAGTGCGGCAGCGGCCAGCATCACCACACCCGTGGCACTACGCTCCGGGCCCAGAGTGGGGCCAGAGCCGCGCACTCCAGCTCCAGCCCCCACCCCGCCCCCCGCCCTGAAATGACTTGTTAATCAGCGACACTACCGAAGGGACTCACCGGAGTGGAATCCAAGTGGCATTTGGATTTGGAGAAGAGTTTCTTGAACATTTACCCCTTTCTTGTGTGTTGGGTTTTTTTGGGGTTTGTTTTTGTTTTTTTTGGTCTTTCTGTTTTTGCTTCTTTCTCTCTCCTCCGCCTGTCATTGGAGATGAACACAGAGCGTGTGCATCCCAGAAAGTAGCCGCCGTGACTGTTGCCCCCAAAGAGACAAGCACACATGTAGGAATGACAAAGGCTTGCAAAGGAGAGAGCGAAGCTCGATGCCCGGAGAAATCCCCTCGATAATGGATTACTAAATGGGAGACAACCTGCACCAGCCTGTTCCAAGACCCGGCCGCCTGCACGTCGATGCACCGAAAAGGTATGGCCCGAGAGCCCCGGCGCGCCTCACCTCCAGGGAGTCTGGGATCCAGCCTGCGGGTCCCGGGGCAGCTCTGGGTGCGCGCTATCGGCTTTGTAGTGCCTGCTTTTATTTTGTCTCTTGTCTCAGTCTCCTGAGCCTTGCTAGCCCGGGAGGAGCAGCCGTGCGCCCTGCAGCGCTTCTCCACCCTGCGCTCCTGACACTACTGGGCTCTACGACTCGAGCTTCCCTATCCGCGCTGCCCGGAACCGCGACGGCGCGGGATGGCTGCCCCACCAGGGTGTGTTTGCGTACGTAGGCTCCGGGTCCGGGGGCTCGTCTTCACTCTCCCGCCAGCAGGGAGCCGAGCAGTTCCGAAAGCGTGGAATTCTAGGCAGTTCTTGGCACTGGTGCCAAAGCCAGGGCAAAGGGTTCTGTCCTCGAGGGCTGAAGGGGGTCGGGTAGAACCACACTGTCTTCGCCCAGCGCCAGATTTGGGTCCAGGGACTGGTAGAAGGGATTTGGCGCAGACTGTGGGGAAACGGAGTCTTTTGTTGTCGGTGCCGGGTCTGGGTTGGGCTGTATACAGTGAGGGAAACTTGTAATGGCTTGGCACCCGCGCCTTGCCTCTTAGTGACATCCTGTCTCCCGCGGCCGCTGGCACTAGAGGCTACAGGCTTTGTTTGCTCCAGTGAGTGCCAAGGAGCGGCCCCCGATGCGGAATGGCGTCTCCGCCCTGGGTCCTGTCTCCCTAGGTAGTTCCTTCCTGAGTGGCGAGGCCACTGGTCACGGTGGTTGCGTACCCTGAAGCACAGAGCCTGTCTTTCCAGGGCTGGCGTCCCCTGCGTCCTCCTCCAAGATCTGCGAGGTCCCTCACTGTAAAAGAAGTGCCCCAAGAGAGAGAAGGGTGAAGATACTGGGCAAGAAATGACTTGGAGCTTGGTACCCAGACAAGGGCTTAGCGGCGACTCCAGGGTTTGGATGCTCGGACTCCTGCGTCCTGGCGCGCTGGCTCTGGGGCAGCGCGGCGTATGGGTAGCAAGCAGGGCAATGCCGATGCTCTCTGACGATTCTTTTCGGAGTGGGAAGTGCTTTTTTCTGGGTTCTGTGCGCATTTCTCAGCTCCCCAGTGTGAGACTCGATGCAAAGCACAGTCCTCAAGTGCCCTCCCCTTTTCCATGACCCGGGTCGCTTAGTGGGAGGCAGGGAGCGGTGCCGGACTTACTGGTGTCGGAAAAGGAAACCAGACTCGGCTATCATTCTTGCTTCCTCGCTGTCCCTCCGCCCCGCGCCTCCTACCCCTTTTGCAGCTAGGGGTGCTCAGACCCGGCGCTTCTATAAAGTTTCTCTGAAAGCCAGGGGGCGGCGGGCACCGCCGGATTGGGGCTTTGTAAGTGCATCCTGCCGGAGACCAGAGCCGGAGAGTGGCGGGCGGGCTCCCCGGAGGCGGTTAGGAACGAGTGACTGGCCCATTGGAGAGCGACATCTCCCGCCCGCGGTCGGCAGGATGAGGGTTGCGGCGCTGGACTAGCTTGACCAGTCTCTCAAGCAGTCCGAGAGAGTCGGGCAAGGACGTGCAGGAGCAGGTCTTGGGATGCTAGTTAGTGCGGTCACTATACACAGAGGCTGGCGCACTGGTTCTTGTGCTCACAGGTCGGGGCTCTCTGGCTTAAAAGTAACGAGCTCTAAGCGCAGCATTCGAGCCTTATGCGCCCTGAGCCAGGTTTTCCACCCGGCAGGTATCCAGGGAGGAGTAGAGCAGAGCCAAGTCGGCTAGTATCGGTGGAAGGACGGGAGACAAGCGGTGCTGTCTTCACAGCCCGGGCAAGCACTCGCAGCGGCGGCCTTTGGCCTCTATCGCAGTGGGTAGCCGGGCCGGCAGCTCTTACTCGGTCTTTGGAAAAAAGGTGTCTGCTTTGGGGTTCTGGAGCCAGGTTTGGCTACATTATGATGGCTTCCTATTTACCCTCTGTAGAAAACCAGTTGCTACTCCGTGTGGTCCGTGGACAGATTCAAAACACGGGGGCGGGCGGACACACACACACACACATACACACTCACTCACTCACTTACTTGTACGCACAACTTTTTTGCCTCAAACCTGAAAAGCCATTTAACCCAATTGCAGTGTCTGGCAGCAGGTTTCAGAAAAGCTATTTAATGCGGTCCCCCCACCCCCACCCTGCGGAGATTTTTAAGTCTTTCACCAGTAAAAAGGTCTAGTGCCTTTGCCTTGCCTTCCTTTTAAGCCGGGTAATTGTTGGTCTTCCTTCCCCTGATACACATCTTGTGCATTAAGTCCACATCTGCCACTCTGATGGCAGGGGAAGATTGGTGTTTCCGGATATTTGAATCTTTTATTTAGATAATTTTTCCCCAAAGTAAAGATGTCGGTGCCCAATTCTGAATGAAAATACCCAAATTTTTACGTCTTATCCAAATGGCTGTTAGAGTCAAGACCATAAACATTTTGTATTTTTTTAATACCATGTTTAGTCTACATGGAGCAGTTTTATGATTTACAGTACACTTTGATTAAAGTACTCCAGGCACCAAAGTTAATTATTAACCTAATCTTAAATACAGTGGCAGAACCTTGTCTCCACCTATTAACCTAAACTATCTGTTAAAAAATAATTGCACTAGTTACTTGAATTTGGTTTACCCATGCTTGTTTACATGGTAACTTTTATTTGACTCTTGAGTAACCCATCAATCCCTGTTACTATTTTGGTTTTAGGACATTTTTGAATGAGACACTTTGGGATCCCATATGAAATCTGGAAAAAAGGAACATCAGATTTAAAACCTTGGTTTTGTGGTAGGAGTCCTTTTCAACTTGATGTAAAGAAGCCCCTTGTTTCTTTTTTACACTGTTTGTAGGGTGGCAATCTTCCCAAAGTGCTGTGTTTTGAAGTTCTCACCTTTTAGAGGTATGTCACATTCTCAATAATGCATATAATCCACACATGTAAATGTTAAGCAGACACCCAGCATCATTATCTCAGGAACCATCTGTAGAATATGCTTAAATTTAAATGGGTTGAAAATTCATAAGAACCAGTGAAACCATTCACACAAATGTTGAATGAATAAATGAATGAAAGAAATAGTCACACATGGTTCACGTTTCTCTACTTAGACTGGACCTGTTTATTTTTCCTGCAGTGAAAAATCTACGCCTTCAAGTTAAGTGGTTATTGTAAAGTGGCAGTAAGTGCAACTCTTTATGTATACACACACACACACCTCAAGGTCTTTCAAAGGCTAGTGAATGCTTTTCCCATCATTAAAAAAAACACAGCATTTGCATTTTGAGTAGGCGGGGAACATTGCACTAGTGAGGTTGAGTGTGTTGAATGAGAGGGAAAAAAGAATGTTATCTTCATTGAATAAACATAAGAACTTGTATGAAATTCAAAAACACCCAGAGTAAGAACTTGGATTGAATTCAAAATACTCAAGCTTTAAAAGCAAATGGTTAATTGTGAACTTCCATATGAAATGAAAGAAAAAATATTGTTTTGAACAAGGTGAGCCAGATACTTTACTATGTGTACATCGTGTGGCTCAGCTCATTTCAGAACAGGACAAAAGAGTGATGATGGGAGAAAAAGTTTTTTTAAGAACTAGATTGCCAAGAGCTAATATATTCTGCCATCTTATTTGTTTGCAGGAAGGAATCACAGAACAAGCCATACTAATTGCGAATGTTTTAATTAGGCATCTGCCATTTGTAGAAGTGTAAAGCCTAGGAAAGCCTGCATGTATCTCTGTGCTCCCCCCCCACACACACACACCCTCCTTAAGTTTAGATGGTTTACTATCCTGCACAGGAGAGTAGGTATTCCTTAACATATTTACTTAGGAGCCAGATCTGTGTTATGGCAGCCACATTTGTTGGCATGACCAGGAGAAGTGAAGCCATGAAAAATCCCACTGTGCGCCTCCATGTACTGCCCCCCTACTTTCTTGGGGTACACTGGAACAAAGTTATCTCTGAGGTATTTCTATTCCAGGGTGAAGGCTTTTCTCATCTGCCTTAAAATACCAGCTGCAAGAGTGACTGAGCTATTCTCTGCTGGCAACCACATGGCTGCCTCTTGGGGATATGGTAAGGTAGGGAAGGGAGGGAGGCATTTAATCCCTTTGAAATGGGCAAATAAGATGTCATACCACACAAACCTCAAGGGGAGAAGGGAGTTCAGGACTACTTCTCAGCATGGGACTGTTATAGTATAGTATACACAGGGGTATCTTGCTTGATGAAACAGGAATTCCTGAAAATCTATGTTTTTTAATTGTTGTTGTTATGTGCTGTAGAGTCAGACCAGATTCATAAAGACCCCTCCTTGGGTTTCCGAGGCGGTATCACTACGGAAGTGGATTGCCCAACCTTCCTTCCGAGGAGTGGCTGGTGGGTTTGAACCTCCAGCCTTCTAGTTAGCAGTCAAGTGCCTTAGGTACTATGCTACCAATAATTATAATGTAGTAATGGGAGCTCTGGTAGCATAGTGGCTAAAGCACCTGACTGCTAACCAGAAGGCTGGCGGTTCAAACCCACCAGCCACTCCTCGGAAGGAAGGTTGGGCAATCCTACTTCCGTAGTGATA